CCGGACGCTGCCCTGCGCACGCTGCGGTCGGCTGCTGTCACTTTGCTGTCGCTTGATGGAAGAGAGGACCAGGGACTGGCCGAGGAGGGGACCGGTGCGTTAAACCCGATGCTGCCAGGGCCGGGGCGAAGGCAGGCACCCGCAGAGCGTAATTACGCCGCTAGTTTCTTGAATAGAAGCAGTTGAATTTCAAAGCCTGATTCTGCGCCCGCTTTGTTCTGGGGGTCGTGGGTACGGCGAGAAGGGCTTGCCGGCCTTGCCGAGGGGATGTTGGTTTCGGAGGGGTCCCCAAAGGGGAGGCTGGTGCCAGGGCTGAGCACCTCCCGTCGGCGGCATTCGCTCCTCTCCCTTGTTGGGCCTCAGCTGGCTCTGGCAGCAGAGTACCTAACCACTGGGAACGGTGATACGGACGATACAGAAGTTTAATCCCCACCCCGTCAGGCGGAAGGAAATAAAAATCCCCATCCACAGCCCCCGCTGCTCCGTCCCTGCGTTCGCAGGGCCTGGCTGCGGGCGCAAGCAGCACCCACGGGGACCCGGGAGCGATGCTGAAGAGGGGGAGAAACCCCGCACCCGCCCTGCCAGACGCAGCCCTCGAGGGTGTTTGTACCCTGGGATACAAGCCCGGAGGTGCGATGGGTCTTAACGGCCCGGACCTGCCTCCCTCCGTCCCACACAAACAGGGGATCGTGCCCAAGGCCTGGCTTAAGTCTGGCTTTGCCGCAGCTGCCTCAGTGACAAGCAGATTCCCTCAGATTCCTCAGTTCCCACGGATTTCCCCCAAAAGCCTGGCCCAGACCTTCACCCCACAGGGAGGTCAGGGTTCTGCCTCCCCTCGCGGGAGCGGTAGGAAGAGGTACCTCAACAGGAGGCATGAAAGGTTAGGGCAGGGACTTACAGGTAAGTCTGTCCTCTGCAAACTCATGGCTGCCCTCAGGCACAGGCGAGGCACCCAGCAGCGCCTTTTCCACTTTCCAAACACTTTTCACGGAAGAAAACACAACCACAGAATTAAACGTGATGTGGGACAATGAAAACGCCTTTTGATGGTGCGCAGCCGGCATCAGGAGCAGATAATTCAAAAAGCCCGGGGCCTCTCCAGACACGAGCGAGCGAATGCCCACCCCGCAAGCACCCCAGGGGCTGTCAGCTCTTCTAAAGCAGGTTCAGCCGGGAGGCGTCAGCCTCCTGAGCAGCTCTGAATGTCAGGGGCAGGAATCGCTACCTGGAGCTACGACGCTCGAAAGCTGGAGGTTACATTTAAACGGGTTGTCCAGTTCAATCTGGACAAGGAGCTCTAATGATTACAGAAAAAAGAATTAAAAAATTACAAAGCGCTTTCCCTGTGCCTTATCACACGTGGGACCGGCATAAAAATGAGACAGGAGAAAATACCGTCGTTCAAACCACGTTATATATATTGTCATTTAAACTCCCTTCTATTCTACTAAACCACATTATAAGGCTAAAGGAAATCAACAGATTTTTTTGAAACACCACAATTTCAGTAACGTAGAACTTTTGTTAGCAAGTTTTTAAAGTACCGTTACAAAACAGCAAGTTTTTAAAGATCTGATCCAGACTTGAAGCACAACGACGGGACACCAGCAAAGCTGCCCCATGCCTGAAGGGAAGGAAAGAGCCCGCGTAAAGCCACTGCTGGTGTGAAATTTTCTGGAAAGTTCAGTGTTCGTGCTTGTGGGGGGGGCATTAACAGAGCCCACACGAGGGCACGGGTTGCTGCTGGCAATAACTAAACCTCACCTCTGTCCCTCAACCCCTTCCAGCTTCCAGAGGTCCTTTCCCGGCTGTAGTAAGCAGGGCACAGGTTATTCCGCTTGCTCCCCTCTTTTTGAGGTGCACTGGGTACGTGCACGGTGCTGATCCACGGGGCACTGCCCCCAAAGCACCGCGATCTATGAAGTTTTAACACAGTTTCTCATTCCGACCAGGAGGCGTTTCCTGCAACTGTGGAGTTCTGCGGCACCCGAACAAGCAAGAAGGACAGCGCTGGGGAAAGATTACCTGCAGCGACAGACACCCGAAAGCCTCACGGAGACGTTGCTCTCACGATTCAAACTGGGCCAATTGCTCCTCGGGGTGGGAGGTGGGGTTCCCAGCAGCAGTGCTGCAGTCCGCGGAAAACACGTGCGTTTCGAGATGGCTCCCCGCAGGCGCGGGAGCTCCGGGAGGCGCGTTACTGAGGAGAGCCAGGGTGGCTTACGGTGCTCCATCCACGCTTCCTTCAGCGCTGCTGAAGGAGCGGAAGGCTTTGTGCAGGGCCACGCGGCGAAACAGGTCCGAGTGAGCTGCTGCCGTCTCTGCTAGAGATGCGGGAGCGTCCGCTGGCAGACAGAAGCAGACGGATCAGTGGGGAAAGGAAAATCATATTGCCAGCACAAAACTATTTGCTTCTCATTCTTCCCTTGTCCCCAGAGAATTTTTCACTCTCCCTCGCCGTATGGTTTTTCTTCTCATAACCCTTCTCTCTCCTTCCTAACCCTTCGTGTCCTGCAGCTCCCCCATGGGATTTGTTGGCTGCAGAAAGCCCAAGTGCCTTAAGAGACACCCACTGCTGAAGGGCGAGGACAGTAACGTGGGAGCCTCAGCCACCTAGTTGCTCTCTTAGCTCAGAGGACACTGAAATTTGTGAGCAAAGGCAGAACTTCACCTATAAAGGGATGGCTACCGCAAGGCAAGGAGAGGGGGAACCGTTGATACAGTACACGACTCCTCCTCCAGCCTAACCGCCAGCCAAGGAGCTGGCAGAAGCAGGCCTGAGACGGCGACTGAGGGCAGAGAGAAGAGATTGTCGGTCCCAGATGCCCCGTTCAGAGCTCCATCTAGCTGCACGTTGGTCCACGCGCTCCACAGCCCAGCCAGCCAGCCGCGAGCGGGACACGGCGTGGCTGGAAACATGGGGAGACAGACAGGCAAGTGATTCCTCAGCCCAGTCTGGCATTTGTAGTAACCGGTCAGAAAACAGCGCAGATCCAGGATCGAGCCGTGCCACAGCGTTAGGGCTGCACAAGACGCTCGGCATCGTGCTCAGCCTTTGCTGTACCAGGAGGAGGTAGCGTTGCTGATACAGAGGAGGGGGAGCCGGTGGTGTCAGGGAAAGATTTTTTTGGGCAGAGATCTTTGTGACGAGTATTTCACAGTATTCCTGACCCTTTCAAAGGGCTCGTAAACCTCGCTCCTGCCTCTCTTCTCTCTGCTGTTGCACTGCGGCACATGCCAGCACACCTAACAGTGCAGCAGGGGCAGTTAGGGGCCTGGCTGCACGACGCGAGACGTCCCAACACCAGGCCTCAATTAGTCATTTATCTAATTGCACTGAGAGAGAGAAATTCCCGATGCTGAAAAGATCCTGCCTGATTTGCCTACAAGTAACTCCCACCCTACGGAAAGATCACGGGGCTGGGTGCCAGGTTTTCAAGGATCGGAAACAAGTCCAAGGCCGTAAGTCGACTGGAACAAGCCATCACTGCGATTGAGACTGACAGCGCCCGAGTTTCTGGCTGCGCTTGCTTGCCAGGCTCTCCCACGCGTGCGGAGTGCACTAGCGCAGGCTGGGCTCTATCCGTGAGACTTGTGAAAGCAGCACCCTGATCCCGCTGGGGCCGTACCGGAGTCCGCACTCCGAGTAATTGCAAACTGGGAACGAGCAGCCTGTCCGTCTGAAGTGATCCAAGCTTGCACTCACACCTTTCCCTTCTCAGCCCCATCGTATTTCCCTCCCTCCAGCCACCCCATCTGTGGGGTGCTGCAAGAGATCTGTGCTCTTGTGCCAGGGATGAGTTACAGCTGCTTCAAGACCCAGCACCAATTGCACACCACCTCTTCTGCAATCTTTTCTCCCTCAGAAATATGACGGCTTGCTCCCTTTAGTCCCCAAACTCAACTAGAAAGAAACACCATCCGTCTGCGGAACCACAGTACGGCCTGCCCACCCCACACCCCCAGACAGACCCCCGCACCATCCACTTACGTGTGCAGGAAACGGTGACTTCAGTGGGGAGGCTGCAACAGAGATCTCCGTAAAGCAGCCTCACGTTGAATGGAAAGGTCTTGCTTTTCCTTGACACGTTGTAATTAAAGACCAGCAAGTTACACAAGGAGTTCCTCTGCAAGGTTCCTTCTATCCGGTCTGAAAAGCGGTCCTGGAGGGACGAAGACATGAAAGCTGGGAAGGGAGTCCATCAGTGTGGGACTGAGAGCTCGCCCAGTGCGGTGCCCCCACCCTCCGTACCAGCCCGGCACGCCTGTACGCTCTGGGGCAGCTGTACATCGAACAAGCCTTGTGTGGGAAAGACTTAAACAAAGAAATGCTCGTGCGCACCCTTAAGCCACGTCTTCCAGCGGCTTTTTACAACATCACAGCTATTTCAGCTCAGGGACCTCCGGAGGGGAGGACAGCTTTGCGTGCGGCAGTAAGTTTTAAATGAGCAAGACATTCAAGTACGTGACAATCGATGAAAGGGGCAACTGAGTTTATAGTCACACGACAAATTGTGAAGTTCTAAACACCAGAACCGCGAGCACTCCACATAAAGAAAGCTGCCAAGATTCCCCCCCAGCGCTTCAGAGACTCGTAGCGCTTGGTGCGTCAAAGGGAAAAGGACGGGTGAGCAGCATCGCAGCGGCCAGCGGTACCTGTAACTGGTCTGCCTGGTACCTCCTCCCCGCGTAAGCGTTGAGGTGGTCTGACAGGACGGATAAGAAGCGCCTGATGTCCGTCTGCAAGTACTTCTTGGCGATCTGCTCCAGGGGGATGAAGACGGGGACGGAGTGGCGGTGAATCTGCACTTCTGCCTTGGTGAGCAGGTCCAGGTGGTAGGAATCCAGGTAGGTGCCCTCGTAAGCCGTGCTGATGCAGAAACAGACTCCCCGCTTGGTCAGCTTCCCACTGATCCCTTGGGTCCCGAGAGAGGGTTTACTCAGCGCTGCTCTAACTCATCAGCGCCAGGCAGCTTTGCTGGGGCAACACAGACTGCGAGAGGGGCTGCGTCCTCTTACTACGCTAGCTCAGGGAGCTCCCTCAGAGGATTAAAGACTTGCAAGAGTTTAGGGACATAAAACACAGCAGCTTTTTAATAAGGGACCTCTAACGAATTAAAGTAGCTTAAATTCCCAGTAACTGAGTTACGCTGCCACTTCCAAACACGGTCCCGGCTCCAGCGCAACAGGGAGAACAGGCTGCCCTGGGTGGGGGAAGGCAGCGCTTCGCTGCCCCAAGGAGAGCGGCAGGAGTGCTCACGGCGGGGCTCAGCACACTTGCATCAAGCAGGACTCGCGTCCTCGCACTGGCCAGAACACAGAGCAAAGGTGACTCTGGCAGGAAACTAAAGGTTTTTAAAAAAGCTCAGGGGCAGACGAAAAGAGAGCGCTGACCTCACAAGCTTGCTTGGAAGACCCAGACCCACTGGATGTTTAACTGCCTAATTCCCAAAGATTTCACTCATAAGGTAGTTACACGTTTTCCAGAATCTAGACCGTAGTTTAAATGATACAGTTCAGTAAATAATAATTCCTGGAACATCCCAGAGGCCTCCTGTGAAGGGAGGGAATTACAAGGTTACTGCTCTTCCAGCATTTTCAGACTGTAAAGGCTCCGAGCACAACAGCAGCGACGTCAACGGGGAAGTTACACTTCACATCAGGCTCATTTTCCAAAATTTAGCACCCCAGAAATGCAGCCATTGGCAGAACACACGCAAATCTCTCGAGACGTTACCTGTGAGGTAAAAGATCTGCAGCATGGCCTTAACGCTTTTTATCTTCCACTCTAAAACAGCCCGAGCACTGGGCTGTGCCGGATCCGACACGACTCCTTCTTTCCCAAGTTGCTACAAAAGCCGGAAGAGAAGAGAGGTCAGAAATCGCTGACGTGAACATGTCACCCGCAGGGAACACAGTCGGGCTACAGAGGAATAATAACCCGGCTCTGAGAAAAGCGAGATGGCATTTCAAGCGGAAAAGGGGAGAAATGAAGCAGAAGAGGGGAGAAAAACTCAAGAAGAGAGTTCGGAAATGGCCACACAACCTCCAAGCAAGTAGACCCGGCAGTCCTGGACTACACGGTACTGAAAACAGGGGACGCCAGGACTATATGTCACTTAAAAAGGGAAAATAAAAAAATAATAGTTGACTATGAATAATCTCAGTAAATCCACCCCGAGAGCATGAGCACACCAGAGCCCTCTGCCAGATCTCTGCAGCAAGCCCCTTCTCACCCCCTTTTGCTGCAGGTCCACTTTAGCCCGCAGCTCATCCCTCTGGAGTCTCAGCTCCTGCACTCTCGCTTTCAGCCTGGCCAGCTTCTCTTCTTGCTCCTCCATTTCCTCTTGCTTCACGGCTGCCTCATGAGCCCGCGCCTCCAGCATTTCCAGGTGAGCGAACACCCCTGCGAGGAAAAGCACGACACGCTTAAAAATACAGGCTGTGATTACTAGTGGTCTGCACTGCGGTACCCAAACCAAAGCAGGTCCAGTGCAGATACGTAAAGAAACCACTTAAAACAGCTTTTCAAAGGGGCAGAGGACAGGCAAACATCTGGCAAAGAGGCTTTTGGGAATTTGAAACAGCGAGGCTGAGTGCCAGCAGACCCTAAACAACACTGGGGTGCCCCACACCAGCTAGCTAAGCTCCTGAAAGGCAGAGTAAGCTAGCAAATGCACCAGTCCCAATCCCAAGAGATCTGCAATTCCCAGTTTTACTTCTAACCCAGCACACAGAGCGGCAAAGTGGCTTCTCTGAAGCCCCCGTACCCTAAATTGGCTGAGAGGGACTCAAGACGCGACTCAGCAAGCCAGGGGGTCACTTCTGGCCCGAAGCACTTTAGGGTTCACTGCTACAGGAGGACACACTCTGCGCTTGGATGTCCCACACCCTGCACCCCAGACAGCTCACCGTCTGGTGAATACGCTTTCCCCTCCTCCATCTTCCCTCGCCACTCTCCTGCAAGCGAGAAGGCAGACCTCAGCCCTCCCTGGCCAGGCTCCATCCCTCGGGAAGCGGCGACGTGGGGGCAGCGAGAGCTCTTCCTCAGGGGACCTTCCTCTTCCTCCTGCTGCTGCAACGGGACTCCGAGAAGCGCCGAGGGCAGGTCTAGCACCCGGGCTGGCCCCTCGCAGGCACGATCCCAGGGGCCGATGGCTGAAACGACACGTTATAACCCACCGCTTTCTGTAAGCCACCATGTCACAC